GTTAAGTTCGAAACTATTCTAATTAATCTGTATTAATCAAAGAAAAAGCAGAAAACCGTCACGGTGTGTTACTTTTGAGCGTTTTTTATCACACCGTGAAGGTTTTGCTGTTTTTTCTTTGATTAATACAGATTAATTAGAATAGTTTCGAACTTAACGAGCTGTCACATCTTGTAGAGCAAACAATTTTCTACAAACTGGTATACTTCTTGAATTTTCGCCTGCTCATCTTCAGTCTTTTAGACACGTTTTTCAGATAGCTTCAAAATCGATTTTTGGGGCTGTTTGTACGACAGCTGTATTTTCATAACTAATCCAGATTCAGGGTCAAGATACTTTTCATTTTGTAGAGAAATGTTTAATGTACTTAATTATGTAGTTGCAATTTTAGATTAGTTTGTAGCTTTACTGCAATAACCTTTTGAAAAAGAGCGAAAAATGGATATCGTTAGCTGGACAAGTCGTTCGTTTCTAGAAAGAACTTCTCACCATTTCAAATTTTTGGGTAAAAAAGTCGAAAAAAATTTTTCTATAACTTTGCATTATTTCCGCCTTAAATCGACATGCTCATATAAACTGCCACTTTCACAATGTATTCATTTTAAAGTTCATTGTGGATTGCCGAACATCCGATTTTCAGAGATTCATCCAAGAAAGGTCTAATAACACGAATGGATATTCGATTCATGTTCAGCATCAAAAATTACCTATGATCAAGTGTTTCGAGGAAAAAGGAATTGAACACTCGAGGATATTTCCTCGTAAGACAAGTGTGTATCTAACGCTTTGTATTCGAAGCAGCCTGATATATGCAAAATATTTTTGGAATGCTGTTTGACTTAAAAGACCTTACCAGTGTCGCCTTCAATTATCAACGGCATTTTTGTTAATTTGCGCTCGTGAATGTGAAACAATTTGTAGGCGAAGTTTTCCGTCAATACGAATTTTGATTCGTTCATTAATCGTTCAAATTGATCATATGGGATATTAATTAACCACGATAAACATTTCGCAAACGGATTCTTATTACAAAATTCCGATCCTTCCAGTGGATCTCTATGGCGGAACAGTTGTTTCAATTCGATAGGCACAACGGACCAATTTGTGTGTAGAATTTGAAGCGAAAAGCCCGGATCATAGACCAGATAAACTTTACGGAAATTATCATTTGAGAAATCTATTTGTGACAAAGTTTTTGCTTCTTCGATCATTTGTTTCATGACAGTTGTACCTAAAGTTAGAGATAAAAATACAATCATAAGTATTATATGTATTAGGTTGGCAACAAAGTTTTTGCGTTTTTTCTTTCCTCCATCTTTAGAAAAAACGCAAAAACTTTGTTGCCAACCTAATAGTAAAAACCCTACCCAAATGTTTTACTGTTTGATTTAGAGAATAAAAACCGCCAAGGAAAAATAGCACTCGTCGATAAAGAAATTTTGTGAATGATAATTCAAATATTTTGTTTCGTGGTATTCCAGATGCATAACGATCTAACATTCGGTGGATTTGCAAACGGCATTGGTGATCATCGGGTAAGCGATCAAATTTTACCGGTTGCTTAGTTTCGTCTGGGTTTACTATTAGCATACGATCGATTGTTTTATCATCAAAGGCTAATAAAAAAAGAACATTCTTATTGTCATAAATACAGAAAAATATGTTTGCTACTTTTTGGGAATTCATACAACATATAACACGTTAGCATAGAAAACGTACGAAAAAACACTTTCCGCTACTGAATAAATAACATCTGATCACAACTCATGACTCCCGATGTCTTACCTTTCAGAAATCGAGCTACTAGTTCTTCGCTATCACCAATGAGCAACTGATAATTTTCATTAGTTACTTCTTCTAATTGATTTTGACACACAATTGATAACACTGGCAATAAATAGATTTACTGAACCCATCAATTCTAATAGAATTCTTTTGAGATTTTCGCTTAACAGATGTTTTATTCACCTGAAAGTTGATATGTTTGTCCATCCAATCTAGGTACAGTACTGCTTTTACGATGGTCAATGTATCAATCCCAGACTAAAGCTAGGTGTTAGACACCAAAGATCTCGTTGCCAAACCGGCTTGGTTAAAAACAAATTGATCTGTTGTCGATTTATAGAGAAAAATGAAAAGTATACCCTTAATCATTACGTGATTTCTAGTGAGTTTTCCTGTTCCAACTTACTGCAGAAAAGACTGACGCCTCATTTTTTTTTAATATTTCTCGAATACTACATGGAATGGCTTTGTAATTTGTTCAGCATATTCTCAAAATGTATCCGCTTCTATATACTTAAGAAGGAACATTCCCAGTTGTCCAACCCCGATTTCTTTCAAACATACATCGAGACAGTAAAAAGCGTGAAAGGATTTATCCCCATAACTCTTGAAGACCCGGTTTTCATGAAAACCAGTTTTTCAGAAACTCTATAAAATAACAAAAGCCTTTCTTAATTAGACATGATTGTAGCCAGCAAATTTTTGATCAAAATGAGATGTCTCCCAGCTCTACACGACCTTTCTTTGCAAAGTTAGACAATTTACAAGAAAAGCCCTAAATATTCATTGTCAGCTCAAAGTTACAGAAATAAGAAGGAATTATATTAGCGCTTTTCTTGTAAATTGTATAACTTGGAAAAGAAAGGTCGTGTAGAGCTGGGAGACGTCTCATTTTGATCAAAAATTTGCGGGCTACAATCATGTCTCATTGAGAAACGTTTTTGTTACTTTTTAGAGTTTCTGGAAAACTGATTTTCATGAAAACAGGGTCTTCCAGATTCATGGGAATAAATCCTTTCACGCTTTTTACTATCTCGATAGGCTATCGACTGATGTATGTTTGAAAGAAATCGGGGTTGGACAGCTGTGAATGTTGCCTCGTTATTAGCATGGAAAAACAGTCATGTATAAGTTTATAACTAATGGATAGTTTCAAAAAGAAAGTGACCTACTTTCTGTAAAAGTATTGCTTTTTTGCTAATACTAAAAATGTCCAACGTCTAGTTTAGTGACTTCACATTCCCACAGCAAGAAAAAATGAACTGGGGTAATATCTCCTTTGTAACCTGCCACCGAACACAACCGACACCGACATCATACCTATTTAATGTATATAATATAGAGAAAAAGTGTCTTAGGGCACCTTGACTTTAGAAATGTTTCTGCAAAGCCAGAATTCTGCTCATAGTTCTCAATTCTATCCATCAGAACTCAACTTTTAAGCAATAAAAATATCATATTCGGAATCAAGGTCAAAAACTGCGTCGATGAGTCAGAGTGAGTTCTGATGGATACAGTTGAGAACTATGAGCAGAATTCTGGCTTTGCAGAAACATTTCTAAAGTCAAGGTGCCCTAAGACACTTTTTTTCTCTATATTATATACACCAAATTGTAGCTCGACAAATTCTCTATCAAATGGTTTTATTATAGTGGCCAATGAGAAATGTTGGCATACAATATCTGAGATTTTTTGCACGTAGGAGATCATTTTCTATAGTCAGAAGTATTTTTAAACATACTTGACCTCAGAGCGGCTATTTGCGTATATGTGATATACCGAAGTATAGCGAAGAAAAAGAGCTTTCGAATGATGTAGAATAGTCGTGAGGAATTGTGAAACTGAGAGGGAAAGATGCAAAACTAAGATCTGTGTATATCAAATGCAGTAGAAACGTAATCAAATTTGATTCGTCCAATTCTTTTCTGAGAGTGGTTCTAAGGACTAGTAAGTACCTAGGAATATTCCCCTCTTCATTCTACATCTAGCCTTTGGTTAGTCGATGAAATTCAGGCATGGGCCGATTTCATCAGATAATCGCCCGCGTCCTTTTGGAAACAGATTCTGTATTTTACTGAAATTCTGTTTTGGCTGTGTCAGAATGATAATGGGATTAAAATAATTTATTTTATTTTTCCATCGAAATAATAAAAATTAAAAGGTTAACAAAGAAGAAGAAAAGAGACTTAAAAAAGCTTGAAAGATGGCAAGATGGCTGGGTTATTCTCTGTACAAAAACGTTTTAACTTGACATTGGATGGTGAGCTATTATGTTGAAGTTCATAATATTTCTCAGGTATCCTTACTCCCGTGAAGTTGGAACGTGCAACCTCTGCGTGGTATGGGAGATAAACTTAGTGATATCACTAAGGCTAATGCGCGTACGCAGAAACTATCGGGCAGCAGCGATAGTGGATCGCAACGAAGTAACTCGGACTGCGCTAAAGAAGGAAATGGTAAACCACTTCAGTATACTTACCAAGAAAATTCAATGAACAGACAACTAACGACGTTTCAAGATATGGTGCTGGAAGATGAGGCCCTCAGATCGGAAGGCACCGAAAAGATGACTGGGGAAGCGCCTAGGTCGAGTACAATTAGTACTGTAAATAATGATGTGATAGAATCAAAGCCGCAAGGAAGTTCAATCACTGAGAAATACAGATACAAACGGAAAGATCAAAGCTTCTTAAAAACACATAAAATTGGCACATGGAATGTAAGAAGTATGAATCAAGGCAAACTCGAAATAGTAAAAATGGAGATGGATCGCATCAAAATAGACATTCTTGGAATAGGTGAACTAAAATGGACAGGAACTGGTCACTTTACATCAGGTAACTACGAAGTTTACTATTCTGGTAGTGAAAACATCAGAAAGAATGGAGTAGCCCTGATTGTAAACAAAAAACTCATCAATTCGATAATACAAAAAACGATAGAATGATTTCTATTCGTTTACAAGGAAGACCGACAAACTTAACAATAATACAAATTTACGCACCAACTACAGAAGCAGAAGAATCAATTATCGAAGATTTCTACATGGAATTACAACAACTATTAGACGATGTTCCCAAGAAAGATACAATCCTGATAATCGGTGATTGGAATGCAAAAGTTGGCGAAATAGAAGTTCCTGGAATAGCTGGAAAATTCGGGTTGGGCAAACGCAACGAAGCAGGCGACAGGCTGATTGAATTCTGTCAAGACAATCATATGGTTATTACAAACACATGTTTTCAACAACCGAAACGACGACTATATACATGGACAACACCAAATGGACAACATCGAAATCAAATTGATTATATTCTCTGCAATAGACGATGGAAAAGCTCAATAACATCAATCAAAACACGACCAGGAGCTGACTGCGGCACTGACCACGAACTCTTATTAGCGTCTTTTCGAATCAAGCTCAAACATCATCACAAATCAACACAAACAACAAAACCCGATCTACAAAACATCCCGTACAAATACAAGGTAGCAGTAAAAAACAGATTCAACGCGCTCAATCTGATTGACAAAGAACCTGAAGAATTATGGCAAGAAATACGCGACATAATCAACGACGAAACGAAAAGAAATATACCGACAATACAAAAAAAGAAGAAAAACAACTGGATATCGTCAAGCACCTTGGAAATCGCAAAGAAAAGGCGAGAAGTTAAATCAAATGGAAACAGACAAGCCTTCACAAAACTTAACGTCGAATTTCAACGTGCTGCAAGAAAAGACAAAGAAAAACAAATAATGCAAGAATGCGAAAAAGTAGAGGAATACAACAGAAAAGGTATGACAAGAGATTTTCAAGAAGATAAAACACTTTCGTGGACAATTCATACCAAAAAATGGCACATTAACAGATTCAAGTGGTAAGCACTTAACAAATGGTCATGAAATCAAGAACAAATGGAAACAATACACCGAGGAACTATACAAGAAGGAAATCAATGGAACTGGGAATTTAGATCTCGACAATTATGAACCAGAACCAGATATTTTGGAAAACGAAGTGACATTCGCAATGGAAACACTAGCAAGTGGTAAAGCACCTGGACATGATGGCATCCCAATCGAATGTTTTAAAACAATTAAAGAAGATACAGTGAAAGTATTAACAAAATTATGCCAACAAATATGGAAAACAAACAAATGGCCTGAAGATTGGAAAACATCGATATTCATTCCCATACCGAAGAAGGGAAATGCCAAAGATTGCTCAAATTACCGAACAATTGCTCTTATCTCACACGCCAGCAAGATAATGTTGAAGATTATACAACGGCGATTGG